CTCTTTTCCAAGTTGCTTAGCAACATTTTGGGTTGCGGGGTTAAAAACAGCCAAGTGAAATGCTGCCACGTGAATTGCCTGTAACTGGGGCTATTAGAACTCAATTTAATAGAACTTGTGTACTCTGAGGGGCCAAGCCTTCTCAATGACTGTAACTGCTTTTAAGGAGATACGCAGGGATGTCTGTCCTTACCATGACTTCTGTTTTTCACTTGAGTTGATTATGGATATCTTCAATGTCATCATCTTTGTTTCCATGAGTAACGCAATAATAATTTCAGAATTTTTTCTAATATCTTTATTGTTTTGATTAGAAAACTACAGTTTGTCTTTTAAAAAGTCCTTCTTTCAGTAAAAATAAGGCTGACTAATAAATCATGGTAAAACCGTGTTCTCCTGCAGCCTTCCATTGCATTTCAGCATTACTTTTGTTTTCTCACATTGCTCTGGTAAAGGTACAGGAGTTTCAGCACAGCTATTTGTTACAGATCAGAGATCTCCCAGACCAAAAGGTTCTGTTAACAGTAAACTCTAGATTAACTAACTAGTAACTGCTTAAGGCAAAGATATAAAATAGGACCAAAGAGTGAAAAAGGTCTAACGTGTCTCCCGAGAGATGGGAGAATACATTTCCCAGATTCTTTTCTAACTTTTATTTATAGTTCAAAGTAATCCATCCTATCAGTAAACAATGCTGTTTAACATCTACCATGCAGAGATATATGGTCCGTCATAAGGCACTTTATCACTTTCTTATTACCCCAGAAGCCAAAGAAACTGGCTGTAGGTGTACTCAGAAGCCCTCTAGGTTGATGGTGCTAAATCAGAAGATATACAGGTTTTTCTCTTTTATCACAACAAAAGACAGCATAAAATTGTTTGCAGTAATCAAACATCTTGCAAAAAATCTGCAGCTTTATAGAAATATATATTGCAATACTGCTAAAAAGCAGTAAGGCTTGGGATACGGGGCTTACATAAAGCTCGTAAATAAGCCACAACTTGCCATGTTATCCCATCCTCAATGCAAAGTAAAAGCGTGTGTAGAGAAAAAACAGAAAATTAGTTCAGCAAGTTCTTCTGGACTTGGCAGAGCTTCCACCGGTGACAGCTTTTAAGAAGGAGGGTGACTACCTCCTCGCAGGACACCACTTCCTCACCAGTAATGAGTCCTGGACATACCACACATACTAACAACTTTGCATCCAGCACATTAGCAAGGGGAAAAAAAAAAAAAAAAAAAAAAAAAGGTGGAGAGTATTTCACTATGAGATCGCTTGAGCTGCAACGGAAGAGTCCAAAAGTCACAACTGAGTCCCTAAACAAAGTGATTTTGCTCGGTGTCTTACGTGTCACACGAGTATTTCTAAGTATTTCTGAAAGAACTCCGGGCTCACGGGGAGCTGCTGAGGGAAAAAAAAAATCCACGTAAACTCACTAAAAAAGTTGGGTTTTTTTTAAAGTAACACGCGCTCCAGTCCGACGCGGCAGGGTGGGGTCAGCCGCTGGGCTTCAGGGACTCGTCCCCCTCCCTCAGCAGGTCCCGCCATGTTCTGAGGAACCGGGCGTTCTCCGAGCACTTGGTGGCGAGCTCCTCCACCTGGGCCGACACGGCCGACGTCGCCTCCAGGATCT